AAAAATTGGTTTTCCAGAAAAGCGGATCTTCGAACGACCATGGGGAACTCCCATAATCATATTCGGAATCAGCATGGTCGATAACCTATATCCCACTCGATTTCGATCAAAAAGCGATTTATAACCTAGAGAGGTTCCCGCGTGAGTACCGTAATCAAGATGATGAATTTTTTAATTAAAGATGATTTGAAAAAAATTCCCAACGAATGCCTTGAAATAAACTGATTGTGCGTGGGTATTTATGACTACTACCTCAAATACTTGCTGAAATAAAATCGTGATTAACTCTATTCTGTGTAGGCCTGCAAAAGTTCAGCGTTCTTTCTCTTTGAACGTAACGCTAAATACGTGATCCTTCACTAGAATTTCTATTGACCAGATAAGATCAAGCAGAAATATATATGTTCTTACTACAGAACAAGAATAGAAGTTTATATTTACTTCAGACGATGCGAACAGCGTTCGTATAAAAAACTTACGTCCACCAGTGCTTTAACGTTCACATTCAACTAACGCCAACGTGGTTTAGAGTTCATGTTCAAGGAACGAAACGTGAACTTTTACAGGCCTAATGCTGTGGCATTTTTATCTGCAAATGCCAGTACTTTTGGTATGACCTAAGTATTATGAGTAAAATATTCGCTGCTATGTCGTAATAAAAGCAAAACTATATTAAATGACAAGTACATTAATCTGTGATTCAACATAACCTCGCTCCAGAACAGAAGTTCAATCCATTATGGTTCCCGCACATGGCACTTCTTTTTTTGAAAAACTGCCCTAATATAGGGCTTTTTCAAAAAATTTCCTCTCCAGCCTGGTCTTCTATTGTGAGGAGGTATTCATGAGACGTTCAATGTTTCCAAAATAACTGAAAACTCTGGATACAAGAAGTACTATTATGTATAAGCCAGTAACAGTGAATCTGACTAAAACTAGAAAGAGAGAGCAGCAACTTGAATGGAGAGTGAAAACACGAATAAAAAGAAATGTGATCAGACCTAATATATCGGTGGATAAGAGATCTGTATTTAATTGTCTTCCAAGTTTTTGACAGGATTTTTCTACAAATTCAACGATTACTGAAATCGACGTTGTCTTTTTATTGTTCGTTCATGCCGGAGAAATGATTTTGTCCAAATATGAAATGATGAACTGGAAGAGAAAAGTGTTAGCTACCTAATAAAAACAACATTTTACGAAAAATTTCAAAGATTTCATGCTCAAAAATGCATGTTATAAAGAGTATCATAAATACTTTCAGCATGTGACAGATAAAGGTAATTTTTATAATCAAACAGTTTTTAAATGTACCAAATGAAAGCTTATTAACAACTGCATAAAACTGTAGTCTGACTTTTTCTCAAATAGAGATTAAGACTGTACTTTAGAACGGTTTTGAGAACTACATTCATGCCATCTGATATGTTTCTCTGCAAATTTTACTTAAAAGGGACATGGGTCGATAAGGGGAAAAAATCGACCCTCTTACAGTTCAAGCTTATATTAACCGATCTTAATCGGCTACAGAATGAGGTATAACATACTATTTCAAATCCTAAATTTGTTAGACTTATGGCAGTGCGGTCTCATGACTTCTATCCCGAACGGGATATTTACCCTTATTGGCATATAGAGTTTATTCTAAACGGGATGCATATTTCAATCGGGATACAATCAATATTCGAATAGGGATATCCCCAGGTCAAACGCGATGGCGCGTTACGACGAGTCATTCACCTCTTTTATTTCGCTTTCACTACTAGTATAAATCGCACGCTGATCTTCTGGGGTATTCAAGGGGCGTGTACTAGTGATAGTACCATACTCCTGAGACTAGTAAATCATGGTTCAAAGGAGTCCCAAAAGTTGAAAAAATTCAGAAAATAATATTTTTCAGCTCATGAGAAAAAATAATGAGATTTTAATGAAAAATTAATTTTCTCGACAATGGAACAATATTTTCCAAAACCGATGCTTAACTTTTTTCGTTCTATTATGGCAAGTGGAATGGTATAAAATATTAGCTTCATCTCCTATCTAGAGAGACTTGAAGCTTTTTTCGTAACCATGAACGAGATTTTGTCTTTGGCTATTGGTGAAAACTAAAACTTTTTTAGATCATACCATACTTGAATAGTACCGAAACACTATTTTTCAGATTTAGTTTAATTCAGCTATTTTTTAAAATTTTAAAATTTTTGACTTTTGTACATTTTCAAAATTTTGATTCGAAAGGTTAAAACACACATTCATTTGTATTCATTTCTTTTGCTCTGTCTGAGAGAAAATTTATAATATTTCTCCATTAATATTCTCCATATGATCACATTATATTCGCTGTCAGTGTTCTCTGGTGTTCAAGTATGTATTCGATTTTCTATTTTCTCGTCTTTACTCATATTTTCGTTATATTCATTCTAGAGATACAGATATGTGCATATAGGTGCCTTCCTTTGTAATAACCATGCTTGCAAAAAGAAAGAAAAAAGAAAAGGTCGCTTTCTCTACATGGGTATTCTGTTGTTATTTTATTTTATTTGAATGTGAATAAAATGATGATCATCATACATCGGCTTTGTAACATATTTTTTTAGCTTGCCATAGCATTTATGCATGATTGCATTTTTGTTTTGTTTTCATTATCTGTGAGACAAAATAACAAATATTAAGTGCAGCAGGTAAATCACTGTATATTTAAGGTTAACTCATATGGAAGACAACTTAAAAAATCAAAATCTAGAAGAGTTGAGTATTGTATGGCTGGACGCAGTTTCGGATGACTTACAAACACAAGCTCGTCTACGATCAATTATTAATTATCTAAGAATATTTCATGATATTGATGCATGTGTCGATTATATTGACTCTGTAAAGAATGAAAAAATATATTTTATTGTTTCAAGCACATTAGATGAGTCTATCATTCCTCTAATTCATGATCATTCTCAAATTGTATCCATATACGTACTCGGTGAGAATAAGGGAGGGCATGAACAATGGGCAAAAATATATAAAAAGGTTCAACCAATATGCACTGATAACGATAGTCTTTTTGTGAAACTAACTAAAAATGTTAAATTATCGATGAATGAAAGTATGCCAATGAGTATATGTAATGTTCATGTTGAAACAAAAAATAAATCCATACGTGATTTGAGTAAAGAAAATTGTACATTTTTTTGGTTTCAACTTCTCATTGAAACATTGTTACGTATGCCTCAAACATCATCGGCTAAATCTGACCTATTAGATTTGTGTCGACAACACTACGATGGTAATAAAGAAGAATTGTCAAAAATAAATGAATTTGAAAGATATTATTGTTGTGAACAAGCGATCTGGTGGTACACACGTGACTCATTTTTATATAGACAGTTGAATAACGCATTTCGAACAGAAAATATTGACATTATTTTTAAATTTCGGTTTTTCATTATTGATCTGGACAAACAATTATGTGCAATGCATAATAATTATCTTAAGTTATTACAAACATATTCTAATGAATTGACTGTGTATCGCGGACAAAGGATACCAGTTGAAGAACTAGAAAGGCTAAAACATAATATTGGTGGCTTCATTTCTATGAATACATTTTTATCTACGACGACTGATAGAGAAATTGCGCTTATCTATGCTGGAGATGGCTCTGATCGACCTACACACGAGTCAGTCCTGTTTGAAATAACAATTGATTTGAATGCACTTTCGACAGATAAACCATTTGTTAATATCAAAGATCTTAGCTATTTCAATGGAACTATTCAACAAACAGCATTTAAATAATTCATCATTATTATTCATCATTACTAATCATATAGAATTGAATAATATATGAACAATCATTTGATGAAGATGAAGTTTTGTTTTCAATGGCCACTGTTTTTCGAATAGATTTCGTAGATAAATATAATGACGATATTTGGCTTGTCAAATTATTGTTGAGCTCAGAAGACAACAAGTTATTAAAAGAACTTGACACTTACCTGAAGGCAGAAATTAAAACAAATACTACAGAGGTTGATCTGGGACATTTTTTATTAGCGATGCATGAGTACGATCGAGCAAGTCACTATTGTAAATTGGTACTTGATGATCTTCCAGCCAATCACGATTTGACTTGTCGTTGTTACAATATTATTGGTGAATGTTATTTATGGAAGGAAAACTATGATTTAGCGCAAAAAAACTACGAAATGGCTCTAAAACATTGTGATCTCGCATCCGCTGCTGTGACCTACAACAATCTTGGACTTGTTTATAAACGAAAAGGGTCCTGGACTTTATCGTATCAGTATTTTGAAAAATCGCTCGAAATATACTCGATTACTCGCAAGCCGGATGATCCTTTGATTGCAACCACATTAAATAATTTATCACATATTCTACTTCATACAGAAACGTATGATAAAGCATTGTCGAACTTGGACAAAGTGCTTGACATTCGATTAAAACAGTTGCCGCTGGCCCATCCTTTAGTTGGTGCAACATACTCTCTTCTAGGTGATGCGTATCTTTGGAATGGTGATTACAAAACAGCAATGTATAATTATGACAAACCTCAACCATCCATCTTAGTCAGTCTTACTCAGCCTGCAAAGGACAACTATGAAATGGCAATAAAATGCTACAGTAAAAGTATCGAACTTAAACTGCTCTCAGACTCAGGCGATTTTAACAATCTTTCAACTCTCCACAATAACATGGGAGCAACATACAACAGATTAGGTGTTTATGAAATGGCATTGAGCTGTTTCGAGAAGACAGATGAAATTAACAAGAAAATTACTCCAATAAAACATCTAAACATTGCCGCATGTCGCTTGAATGTGGGTAGGGCTTATGCTATCAAATTTGATAATGATTCGGCTCGACAGAATTACTATCAGGCACTTCATACTTTTGAAACGTGCTCAGAAACGGATACTAATCGGTTACTGGCGATAACATACTTTTATGTAGCTGAACTCGACGAACTGGAAAACGATCATGCAAATGCATTGAAAAATTATTATCTAGCAAAAGAACTTGGATTCAAATCTTTGCCATCTACTCATTCGAGCCTGTTACGATATATCAATGGTGTTGAAAGAATGATACCGCATTTGTTGAAGGAGACGAATCAGCTTGAAAAATCAACGACTTAGTCTCCTAAAAGTAATTTCCGTTTAATACATTTTTCTAACTGTCGTCTGACTGAACATGAATAACGATAATGTTGAGTCTGCTACACTGGTAAAACAGGTGCGATTTTTTCAACATGTATTCGTGCGTCATTTTTTAAGGTTATTCGGAGAAAGCGGGAAGTATGTTTAGAGCAAACATTCTATTCAATTCAGCTGATTTTAACAGATCAACAACCGAACGACAACTGAATCCTCTATTGTGAGTCTATTATAGAAACAAATCTTAGACACAAAACTAGAACTAGTAGAAACATTAAAACCATTTTTAAAATAAACATTGATTTCTTCTTCTTCTTTATAGTACACTGAGTAAACATATGGTTTCCCTGAGCAAAGAACCTAGAAAACCTTCCCAAACACAAAAGTATTTTCTATTAGCTTTTAAAATATTGAACTCCATGGTATAGTATAGGTAAAGTAGACTACATTTCGATATTCTGACGTAGTTCGGATCGATTTTAAATCAATTATACATTTTCCAATCTTTCGTAAAAACCGGCTAAAATGGGTTATTTTATCCTGTATAGGTTTCCACTAGATTTCTACAACTTTCACAAAAAATCATCACTGTCACGAGATTTACAAAGGTCGATAACCTATGTTCCATGTGCTTCGGAAGTTCCTGAATACGATGTTTAGCCGATGGGTAGGCCCTCCGATGCATCATTAACACAGCAATATCAGCGAGGGCTTTGGCGATGTCCGGTTTGTATGGGTGTGTTGATTCATTCCATAAAATTTTCACATCGCCTGTACATAACGATATTGTACTTGAATAATTGCGTCCGAACCGTGGTCGATGGAAACTTGGGGCTTGCATAGTTTTGTAGAGCGAAGTCCGGTGGCTCGAACCGCTCTCTTAAAAGTCGAGATTCATCTTTTTTGGAGTACAGAGATCTTCTAGATTCATATTATGAGCATTCTCGATGAAGCCATTAAAACAAATCAATTGTTGACAACAATTAACATATTGAACAACAACGAAATAGTGTACAATGGAAAAGAATTAAGAAATATGGTATGTCGTTAGAAAGTTGTATCTTTCTTTCTGTTCTACGTTTTCTTTATTTCCTCAGATTTATTTAAACTTTTTAAAGATGAACAAGCACGACAACAATTAGCTAATCTACTATGCCTACCATTAATGCCTCCAGAAGTAGTAGTTGGTTTATTTTGTGCTATCGTCGAATGATTCAGTACTATGGATGATAAATTATTAAAGTTAACAGACTATGTTTTAAGAAATTATATTGATTGCCCAATATATTCTATTGAAAAATGGAATAAATTGCATGACGCATTTGTGCCATATTATGAAGCTATTGATATTAATCATATATTTATTTGTATTACTACACGTCAGTTATTATCTGCGTGTAAATATTCATCTACATTGGCTATTGATTGTACATACAAAATAACATGGAATGAATTACCTTTACTCGTTTTTGGAACATCAGATTTATATCGTCATTTTCATCCATTAGGATTATGTTTAATATCAACAGATGAATCAGCAGATACATTTAAAACTTTATTTCGTGTATTAAAATCATGTGTACCACTAATCATTCAACAACCATATGATATTACTCATGTTATGGCTGATGGTACTGCTGTTATTTTGTATGTACAATCAATAGCCAATGTAGATGAATATTTACACGCAGATAATAACTGACGTGTAGTAATACAAATAAATATATGATTAATATCAATAGCTTCATAATATGGCACAAATGCGTCATGCAATTTATCTGGAGATGAACAATTAAGATATTGGTTACACCATGTTTGCAAATCGTCAATTGACATTATACTTTTACGAGTTTTTGAACGACTATACTGAACAATATTTTTAATTTTTGTGTCTACGGTTAAACTTGGTTTGGTTTAGGGCTGTCAATACCACAGATTAAAGTTAGTAAAATGTACGGATTTCACTTTTCAATTCTATTGGTTCCACTAGAAAAAACAAAAATTGAACCTGGGCTCCTCTGACTAGGATGTTCCGAAAGGTGATCAAGAAGATTATCTTTGTCATTCCAAATTCACGAAATTTCTAAAATCAAAGTAAAATCCATATATTTTAATAACTTTAATGTCTGATATTGACAGCTCTATATTTCAAGAACTAAAAGAGACTTTTTTCTGGAATATATCGTAATACATAGTACAAATTGTGTATTTCAGATTAGTATAGGAAGTGGAAATGGTTCCTCTCTAGTAGAGTCTTGTGGGTTTAACTCCATCCCAAAAGCTTTTTTTTAAAGTTTTCTGTTTTTTATATTTTTGACATTAAAATTTTAATTCGAAAGGTTAAAGCACACATGCTCTTGTTCAGCTCGTCGAGCTCTATCCGACCGTGTATAAATATCGCTAAAATAAATTTAGCTCATAAATTGAATTAGTGATGGGACGAAGACTTTAAGAATTATAATTCATATGCTTTCGCCCATCTAATAGTCGTACGTCATTGTTTTCCCGTTAGCTTAAAGAGCTCTCTTCAATCATGAGAAGTAGACAAAAGAAAATTCTAGTGAACTTTTGAGTGTGTGGTATCACTAATTTAATCATAAGCAGCAAATAAAACAAACATCAAAGCAATTATTGATGACAATACACAGACAGCACATAATTTTCTCATAATGGCATATTATTTTCTTTAAACTATTGAAACTGACTCGGAACATTGTTCTTTATTTAGCTTAGAATGATCAAAGTTTGTGATAAATACTTCATATATTATCGAAAGCGGGTTCTGGAAAGCCAGATAGGACCGAGTGACCGAGTTATTGACATAAGAATAATTAGAGATAAATGTGGATTAATTGCGTGATCTGTTTTATGACAAGTTGGGTAGCTTTACTTTGTTAAAATTATTCATTCTATTCAATTCGATTATCATCGTTGTTGCTTGTTCATGTTTATTGTTCTTTTTATTTCTGAATCAAAAGTTTAAGGAATTGATCAGCATTCATTATTAAAATATACAATGAGCTGAATCTGTTAATCTGATATTAATCGTTTTATCCTGTCTTTAGTTTAAGTTTTATCTTGTCTTAAATGCATTGCAAAAGGATTGTAATCAATAATTATCCATTCAAAATAAAATTGAGCTTGTGATATTTTAAATGCACTTGGACTACATTAGTGATTTTTCTAAGTGCAGTCCAAGTGCATTTATATGCAACATTACAAGCTCAATTTTATTTTGAATGAATAATTGTTGATTATCATTCTTTCGCAACGTTTTTAAGACAAGATAAAACTGCTCCAAAAAACATCGACGTAATCCGTAATAACGGCATTCCTTGGCTGTTAGATCAATTCGTCAGGAGCACAAAATCATCATATACGCGCTCAAACAAATCATCTTTCATTGCTCACCCTTTTTACCAGCATGGTTTTGCTCATGTCGATACGGTCTCGAAAAATACTCATGTATACATGCAATTGGTTTAATAATGATGTGGGGTAAAAGACCTGTTTCACAACTTATTGGTAGGGAGGAAAAGGAAGAGGACATTCAAAAGAAATTAAACTAGCATTCCAACAAGACTAGAAAGCTGAACTTATTCTCTTTTTGTTACATTTGTGTCATATTCATGTACATAAGAAAGTGTTGCAAAAGGTTTTGCATTATAAAATAGTTTCACCCATGACTCTACTGCTCGAAAGATCGAATGTGCGAGAGTGTGAGAGTCTTTGCTATTAACTAACTAATTATTCCAAGCTGCTTTCTGCAGAATAAAAAATAAAGAAAATTTTCCGCGACATTTTCTGATTTTATCCCACGAACAACATATGAACAGAATAACTTGGGATATAATGATATATCACTAAAGACAGTCATATTCAACTAGACAAAAAGATAAAAATAAAAAGATAGAGAAATCACAGCAGACAGCTAATACATCCTTTTTTAAAAATCTTTTGTATATACAGCGCACGTCAAAAGTCTCATACCACTTTTTTGTTTTGAGTCGTGTATTAAAACTACACAACATTAGTTTAAATATACCTGTATAGTAGCGGTCGAGTACTAAATATAAACCAAATACTCATCAAATTTAGACAAAAAATATATCAAAATGTTGCCCTTTAAAAATTCCGTCCCTATCATCCATCTAAAAACGTTTCGAGCCGCTTGTTTCTAAAAGTAATATTAGAATTTTATTAAAGTACGTTTATTTTACGCAAAATGTGTTTTGAAGCGAAAAACACTCAAAGTTTGCAGATTATTAGGAAAGGGATGATAAATAAATAAATGAAATGCGGTTTCAGCACAGTGATAGCGTTTACAAGTCGCTGTTTCGACTTAGAACAAAGTAGTACAGCTTACCTTAATCGAATATATTTCTTTATTTTAAATTAAAATTGGTTATGTTTGCTATCTATTATAAAAGGGAATGATACATTATCGTTATCGCAAAAATTACTCATTTATCCCGACCTTCTTGCCGAAGAAATGGTATGTAAAAGCAAAACCGATAAAAAGTCATGGGATAATGGAAAAGATAGAAAATTTTCATACATTTGTAAGGTTTACCATTCTATTTTTTAGATACTTCTTGAATTTTCAATGTTAACAAGTCGCTTAAGAGAGGATCATCAACAGAAATTTCGTAATATGTTGAACAAGTTAATTTCTAAATATGAAATACCTTCTACAAGATACTCAGTGAGTAATAGAAAGTAGATTTTGTTGAAAAAATATTATTTTAATATATGTTTTGATGTATCATTCTAGCAAAGAGAGATTGATTTACTTGCAATAACTGTAGTATGTCGAGAAATGAAAACACCATGTTTTATTACCAAAGTAGGTTGTAATAATTATTACTAGTATTTCATTAGTTTTTATCTTTATTTCTATTATATTATAGGTTACTGGAAAAAACGCTGGAAATAGTTTTGGATTGCCTATCGAATCATGGCACAAAGGATTTATATGGTGTTCATCAAATTCAAAAATTCAGTTAACAGTAACTCAAAGTGGTTTACATAATCCATTAGTGGTTTTTTTTGCTGTGTTCCGTATATATCAATGTCAATATCCAAATGAACTTAAGCCATCATTTGATGAATTATTTTCCTTTTTTTAAACAAATTTTCTTCTTCTGATTTCTCGTTTTTCGTATCGGTCAAGCTTCTCCTTCACAAATGTGAGAAAAAACGCCATGTGTATTCTGAATTAACAGAATGTGTTTGTTCTGTTCGTTTTCCCTTAGGAAAAGTTAAATTATTTCTAGTTTTTTGTTGACTTCAACTGTTCACTATTGGTGTTGTCGAAAAAAAGTAATAAAGATTATTACAAGTAGATAAATAATATACAGTTTCTTTGTTATGCGTAGGAATAAACAGCTAAAGCCTTGTTATTGATCTAGGTATGCACTGCAGTAGTATTGCATCATTGATATTATATTTCGTCCACACAAAAAATGCGCATGTTATTTTTATTGTAATATTTATTTAAATAATAGGTTTGATATTTTTATCTATTTAGATACATTGAATCATGCACAGATTTGCATAAATCACTAACAACGCAAATGGATGTCGGTTTAAATGCTCTCTTTCTTATCTATTTTTTTGCTTCAAGTAAGTATCACTTTGAAAAATCAGTGATTGGAATGACTGAATGTGATTTCGAGTGTCTAGGATATTCTTCTCGATTTATCTAATTATAATAGTTGATAGATACATGTGTTTATTATTGATTTTCTTTTTGTCACTTTAGTTTACTGCATCTCAACATAAATGTCGATTTTGGTTTAGTTTATATTCTGTTGTTGACATATTTACAATGCCACCGTCATTTGTTGCTCTATATCTTAATCAAAACTGGATTGGTACTTTAGACATAATACTGTTAATTCGCACTAAATTCTAGTTTATCTAAATCACCAGGTGGCAGTACTATTGATCACATAGTATGTGATCAATAGTACTGCTACCTGGTGATTTCCCGTGTAGAAAACCATTATCATTTGTCAATCTTGAACTTATCGGTGTTTCACGTGGTGATAATCTAAGAGTGTTTGTAAGTGAACATGTATTATCATCTATCGTGCTTGTATATCTTGTTGGTGATGGGGTTCGAGAATTTGTTTTTTGCTTTGGTGATGCAGTTATCGTGGTAGCAGTTAGTTGTGACATCGTGAAAGGATCATGCGTATGAATAGCAACTTTTTCTCTGCACGCAGGACAAACTCCAAAAATATTAATATTATTGGCTTTAAAATCTTCATAGAATATACTGCACACCATGATTACGCATAACCTTTTAGCATAAATATAAATGATATAATTTAAAACAGTAAAAGAGTATAAAAGCGGAATGTCAGAACGATTACAGATGAAAAGAGTATAACACAAACACTAATTCATTTTTATTGACGCCTAGTTGTACAGTGAAGGAAAAAAGGACGCCTTTCCAGAAAAAACATATTCAGCACAACAGTAGCTAATTATTTACAGTTGTGTAAAAGTTCGTCCATGTGGACGAAAGCCAACATAATACACATTGTCTATATTAACTAATTTTAGTGGCCATACAGAAAATCAGGTGTAACAGAACCATGGTCGTTACTTATTTTCACTTCGAAGCTTCTAACATTTTCTTCAAAACGAATGATGTTCAATTGTGTACACGCGAAATATGGTCGTTGTTTGATAATAAAGATGTTCATTATTTGTAGAAATATTGGATTTTCCTCTAAATAATTTTGAGAAGTGCAAATAACAGTGCCAACTGAATATGATATTGAATTATATTTTATCCGTGTTGCAGTATGAGTTGGCATAGCTGCTAACGTCCACTTATCAATATTTATACGTAGGTCATCAGTTAATGATTACGAAGATAATCGATGATAATTAATCGATTATTTATTACTTTCATCGATTATTTTCGATCGCTAAAATTAAAAAAACAAGAAATACGCAATTCTTCAGCTTTAGAAGAAAATTTATTGGAACTTTTTTCAAAAAGATTTCTTTCTCAACAAGCAAAAGACACCGACATTTTTTATATGTGTGATTACCACTTGATGAAACCTACAGTCCTGTAAATTGAGGTCCACTATTTGCTTTTTCGAAATAAAATAGTCTTGAAATATAATCTTAACTATAAATATTATGTTGCATTCTGCATGAAGATTGTATCTGATAAGGATGCAGCTAAGGAAGTCTAAGTGATCGATGACTCACTCATGTGAATATAGGTAACCAAGTATGATACATCGAAATTTCCGTAAATGACATTGCTGCAAAGATTTATGTTAATTGGAAAAGAAGAATAAATGAGCCTGTTTTGCATTTTGTATATCGTGTTTTGAAACCTGAGTGACGCCTTGTCTGAAATGGTAACGCATAAGAATCTTGCAAGAAGATCTTGATACAGAATGCATATTACATTATTCTTGAGCGTGAACACAAAATCCCGATTGGCCTATAGAACTCTAACAGCTGACTCTGATTTTACACAAACAAGTCGACATAGCAGGCCCATAACAATAATAATTAATGTATCTGTGGGGTTTATTAGCGAACGTGTTCGACTGATAAGCCAATACACATAGAGATGGGCCGTAATACGTAAGCTCCGAAAGAACGGAACGATTATTCGTTATTCACTATAGCAAACTATGTTTCATTTATATACGAGTAAAGAATATTCGAATAATGAGTGTATGAATACACGTCAGAAAGAAAGAGAGAAGAGCTCAAACGTACGTAACAGTAGTTTTCTCTTATATATTGTGAACGAAGATACGTAACCGTAACCTTAGACAAAATCCTATGCACTTCTTATCTGTTTCCTACCAGGATCCTATTATGATCGGCGTAGGATCCTAATAATTTCCTGACAGGATCTGAGATGTTAGGCTCCTACCGGGAATCTCAGATCCTAACATTTAGGATCCTGCTAGGATTTTGTTTCTTAATGAATAAGGATAGTTAATCTCAGGTTGAAGTAATAAATGTATACGCGCCATTTTTAAATGCTTTAGATTTACAAAGAAATAGTAACTTTTGGTCAAATACGGAAATGAGAAAATTCATCCTTCGGTCGCTTCGTATACTTCATATTAAACGTATTCGTTCTATTCAGCTTCATCACAACCCATCTCTAAATACACATTGTAATCCTTCTGGACTATTTGGTTCTGATCATTTCGTTTTCGCTAATTTATTCAAAAAAATTTTAATGATTTACTTAGTCGATTATCGTACACAAACTTGATTAATTCATCGAATCGTTCATGTCCTTTATAATTTAAAGACGATTCAGCGACATTACCGCGAACGACTTTACCGCGAACGACATTACCGCGAACGACATTACCGCGAATGCAAAAAACGACATTACCGCGAAGACTCGTTTGTTGGAAAAGAAGAATAAATGAGCCTAGTTTTGTGTTTTGTATATCATGTTTTGAAATCTGGGCGAAGTTATGTAGTTAATAGTCATTATGTGATACAATTACAGATATCCAGTCTCATTGCTTATCGTGTTTGACCGGTTTTCTCTTCGGTACACGATAAACTGATAGCAGTGCAAAACCTTGACCCCATTGCTTATAAATATTAGTAGGTAATTATTTGCAAATATTCTCTTTCCATGCGTTAGTAGAAATGTATTAAAAAAACATATACTTCTTTTCTTTCACATCTATTATTAGTTTAAAATTCATGCAAAATCATAAATGAAGTAAACCTTTTTCGAGCAAAAGAAACAAAGCAAAGAATAAGCTTAATCAAAACAAAGTAAACGGAAATACTTTCAGGTAAGGTTCTTTCTGCCATGCTTACACTTAATACGAGAAAAAGCTACGATTTTGTGACGATAATGTGTGCTATTATTATAGACAAGTAATAGGTGTTATAAATTGAACATGGAACGTGCTGCACGAAAATAATCATCTCGAGATATTTTACCATATTGTGCAACCATGTTACTTATTCTGCAATCCAGTTTTTCGAAATTTGAGCGCTTTGATGCAATTGTCTGGGTGCCAACAATTAATTGATGAGCCGAGACTGATGTACTGTGGTCTTCTCTTTGAATACTTTTTATTAATTGATAGACTGTAGGATGATCATGTCCAACAGTATTCTATATCGAAAAGAAAAGCACATGATTAATATAGAAGATCAACACTTAATCTAATTTTGGATACCTTTTAACCAGCATGTCATATATTTGTCTGTATGCATTTACATCCTCGTCGAAGATTTTATTAAATTTGTGTTTCTCTTGTCGAAAGTCAAGTCATATTTATATCATTTCTATGTAGGTTTATCAATACTTTCAATATTCTTCCCACTTAATCACATAATAGTGACTGAAAGTTTTGAGTAAGGCTAGCATTTGATATTCGAGTCTAACCAGAACAATCAACACTAATCCTCGTGCTCACACTAAAGGATTATCTTGTTCCGTCAGCTTTTTATTTAACAAAATACTTTCCATCCTATTAGTATAAAACAACAGATACTGCTCTTAACCCTTTGAGGACCGGTTTATTTTGAGGATGCTTATTTCAATGATGCTTCAAAAACCATGATAGCTAGGGATTTCTAATTTTATATGGCCATAGTTCTTGTCGAATGCTACTCACCCACCAACTTTGAGCCTCTTTTACTGGATGGTTCATGCGATATAAGCAATTTATTTCTTTTCTGTAAAATATCACTAGCTCCCTGACCTGAGAGAGATAAAAACTTTTCTTTCTACAAGAATGCAGCCACGACTCTACTCTATCGAGGATATGAATTTCGTGAGTTGGTTGTTAGGAGTTAGTGAAATACAGCTATTTTACGGACGAGGTTGACTTTTTTTTTGTTGCAAATTCGAGGCTCTTTGCGAAAAAAATTCGCAATTTCGGCTTCGAGCATTATTTTAACTTCAAATTCGCACCAAAGACTCTACAGTGTCAGTAGATTTTCCAGCCAAAGTATGAAGGTTAACCCTTTCAGGATCGGTTTAATTTTATACAAAGAACGTCAGGACGCATATATGCGCCAGCGGTCCTCAAAGGGTTATCCAGCTATACATCTTCCTCTATTTACTTTTCGAGAGATGATAAACATGCACTTTCTCATCCTTCTGTTGATAAGATTACATGAAACAATGTGCATATTTTCTCATTAATGCTCCTGCGATCGCCATAATAGCTGTACCAAAGAAAGCGATTGATTCAACAACGAAACTAATTCCATGACATGTGACATAAGTCGAAGGTTTAATGTATTGTCCAAACCACGAATTATCTCTCATTTTCGCCACCATAAGGTCAGTTGACGATACTGATACTGGCTGTAATTTAATCGGTACTTGTAGTTGATTACCAATATCTGATAAAATACCTGATTCTGTTGGTGACGGGCGTAAACATCGCCGACAAGCATCTTTGGACAATACTTGGGCTGTTTGTTCATTCAATACAAAAAACGGTTTATTCAGTTGAAAAATGTTTACTTCCGTACAATCAGGACAGTAAAATTGATCAACTTGATTATGATCGCTACTGTTAATTGTTATAATAATTTGCATTAAGATAAAACCGACATCCATTAAAATTAGGAAGGCGCTTAAACCAAAATAAATGTAACCGAATAGCAGAGTATGGTTTTTAATTAGAACAATCCCATATTGAAGATTAAAATATGCTGTTACAAATAACCAACCAACAGCTGTTACGCCATGAATAATTTCACTGATGTAAATAGGAATTTTTCTTGTTACACCAATTTGATAATACTCATTCTGTACTATGCCTTGACCACGAGTATAAAATATTCCAATTAATGGAAAACACATATTTAAGCCTAACTGTAGTAAAAACGTAAACTTGCTGTTTTCATATTGTTTCTGTTCATCGATTAATAAAGTAACCAGTGTATATCCGACGAGAAATGTAATACATAAGAGAAATCGACCACCATAACCTCTCGGATCACTACAATAGCTTGAAACGGTTGAATGTAATTGAATAATGATCAAAAATTGATAGTAAATTTCAGTTAGTAAAAGTATCATCGATATGAAAGTGACAACTACTAGAATGAGGCCAATGTAGCTGTAATAAGAATCCGTCAATATGCAAGAAGAGATTGACATGTTGACACTAACTAGGGATGTTTTAGATATGATCACTTCTATTGTTGATGATTGCAATTTTTGAAACGCGTGCTGTTACATGAATTATTTTCCATTATAAACAGCACTTGTGTACTTATTAGCTCTTTTTCTGTGTGCAGAAAACGAAGAATGATTTGTATTTTAATAATCACCACATAGTATAGCAGATTTTTCTATCGCTTTAAAAAAGTATTATTGAAATACTAATGGTAATTTCATTGGTGAATCTGTGCAGGTTTGCACTTTTTATGCGCTGTTTTGAAAACAAACTATTTTCCAGAAAGGTTACATGAAGCTTCAGTTTCAATGTCGAAGTATTTAGAGTTGTAAAAAGAAAGAAATCTAAGCGTAATTAGAACCTGCTTATTGTTGCATACATGCCTCTGGTGCAATACCAGTAGTTCGAATTCTGAATAAAAGGAAGAGCGGAAAGTATAACTTTTATATACAGTACTGGAAAAAAATGATAGAGCCACTGTATTTTTGAACTTTTTTGCTGAAGCCGGGTGGCTAGGTGAAATCTGAATAGGGAGTTAGATAGCCTTTGGAGTTCCCTACCAAATGCAGTATGCGTCAAAATTCCAGAGAAAAGATTTATAAAAGTTTTCGAGAAAATCCCCTCTAGCGGAGCTCTAAGTCCTAGAGAAGTTTGCTAAAATATTTTCAATATAGCCATCTAAAAGAGCATAAGATTCTGAAGGAAATGCAGAGCTCTCCACGATCTTTCGTTGCAAGGTTATCATCAACCGGAATATTGGGATGCCCGAATTCGAGATTCCTGACTTTAGGGATTCCCGACACGGGAATTTCAAGATGTTCCCGTCCCGGTGCATGCCTACACACGATTCGCTAAGCATAAAATTATTTTAAAATGAGAATAAATTGTCACTTACTGTACTATTACTAACACTGTTACTATATTTCACCATTGAACTTATTGCCAATGTGGAATTCTAATTCTTCACTCAATAATGCTTGTCTGGTAGAACTCAGATGAATATCGTGATCAACATCATGTTTTTTTCTTTTTCTCGTTGTTCGGCCTTGCTCATCTTCTTATTCCACACGTATAGCTGATAGTTCTTCGGCTTTTTGAACATTCATCATCCAGGTCCAAACGTTCGGATGAATTCCAATATCGCTGAAAACAGAAACGGATCATGAGAACTGCTGAATATATGCTACGGAAAACAACACTTACGCATTGAATTGACGATGATATCCTTCAACATGATTATTTGTAAGTCACTTACGTGGTCTTTCTTGTATTAAACTAAAATGATTCCATTTTTCAATAGGATATATTGGGCAATCAATATAATTTCTTAAAACATAGTCTGTTAACTTTAATAATTTATCATCCATAGTACTGAATCCTTCGACGATAGCACAAAATAAACCAACTACTTCTTCTGGAGCCATTAATGGTAGGCATAGTAGATTAGCTAATTGTTGTCGTGCTTGTTCATCTTTAAAAAGTTTAACTAAACCTGAGGAAATAAAGAAAACGTAGAACAGAAAGAAAGATACAACTTTCTAACGACATACCATATTTCTTAATTCTTTTCCATATATTTTGCTCAAAATGAAAATGGCATAGTTTAACTTGAATTCCTGGAAAAACAGTTTGAAATGCTTGGACAGCACCTTGTTCAAAATCTATGAGGATTGATTTTGGCTCTAATTTTACATCTAAACTTTCAGCATATGAAACTAATGAACGTAGTAATTGTTCGTATGACTGACGATACTTATTCGGCATAGCAACAAATACCATTGGTTTCATGCTTAGATCATTCCAAGCATGAATACTGTACGATTGATAAAATAATTGTGGGGCTGTTCTAAATGTTCCATCAGCATTCAAATGAAGACAAGAGCCTAAAAGAATAACCTCTCTTCAATTATAGATAACTTACGAGCCAGTGCTTACAATTTTTCTTACCAAGAAAACGAACTGAATCTACAGATGCTAAACCTTATATCTTATTATCACCAGGAGTATCACAAAACAAAAAAGACTGATTCATTGATGTTACTGTTAATGATCGCGGTATAACAATTTCTGATAATGTTTTTGGTAATGTTGGTAAAATTGACTGTCTATTACGATATGCAGATGATCGAATATATTCAGACACTGGTACTGGAGCAGCAGATCCATGATTCCGTCTCTACAAATCAGTAATGTATATGTATAAGTCAAGATGCCAACTCACTTAACAGTGTAATAAAAAAGGACGCGAAATTAAATGAGCTCGGAAAAAAGAGATATTTGAGCTCGGTGTACTTAATTGGCTTTAAAATGAGAGAAATGAGCTCGGTTGTAATAAAATTATATTTTTTTATATAAATGAGAGTTTTGAGCTCGGAAATATATTAATCTAATGAAAAAGAGATATTTGAGCTCGGAAATTAATTTAAACTCTGAAAAGAGACAAATGAGCTCGGTAGATTTTAGTTTCGTCGGTAAAAAGAGAGAAATGAGCTTGATAATTAATTTATGAAAATTAATTAATGATTTTATCAGTAGTAAAGTATATTTAATAAGAGAAAAATAGTTCAAGAACAAAAAAAGTGCTAGATTACAATAGTTTTTCACTAATATTCAGTCTTTGTTAAAGCTAATTTAACCTTCTTTGGACGACCCTTTCCCCTTCTTAACCCAAGTGGCTGTGGAACTTTACGATGATCCCATTTTCTACAACATACTGTTCCATTTTCTATTACCATGTCTTTGCTTTAATTTGTATAAATTGATGAGCTTTTTTTCCTCACATACAAATCGATGAGCTTTTGATACTCAAATAGCTATATAAGTGTGCATGCATGTCCCATCAGTACATTCTCAATTAAATCTGCTCTTTCATAATGTCTCGCCGAACGTGGCACGAATGTTTCTCTTCTACTTTTGAAAGTGATATCATATCTTTGATAAAAAAATAAAGTTTCTACTTATCGTACCGAGCATTTTCAAGCTGATAAAACTACTACATATGGTTGTACGGAATATAGAAAATATCCTCTTTGTCTTTTTCAATTAAAATCAAAAGAATCCAATAACAAATTTACAGTATTTAAATCTGAAGCGCATAATCATGATCAACGTAATGATACAACTCGTCTCAAATCGCCTATTCGTGATACTGTTCGCCAAATGTCGGATAAAGATATGATACAAACACAAATCAGAAGTTTAACCGTAGACACAAAAATTAAAAATATTGTTCAGTATAGTCGTTCAAAAACTCGTAAAAAGTATAATGTCAATTGACGATTTGCAAACATGGTGTAACCAATATCTTAATTGTTCATCTCCAGATAAACTGCATGACGCATTTGTGCCATATTATGAAGCTATTGATATTAATCATATATTTATTTGTATTACTACACGTCAGTTATTATCTGCGTGTAAATATTCATCTACATTGGCTATTGATTGTACATACAA